TGAAGCAGCGAGTGCGGGAGGCAACCTCGGAGGCCCCAGGCAAGGTCTCTTCAGCAGGCTCAGACCTGGCCTGCCGGCGAACAAGAGTGGTGAGGCTCAGGCTACTGGCGGGGAGGCCAGCTAGGCCCACAGCCGTGGCCCCAGTGGCTGAGCCACACCCTGAGGGCTACGGGCGATACCCTCTCCCCTCACAGTGGGCACAGGCCACACAGCCAGAAAGACCCAGGCCCCCCCGGAGGGCACTGGCTTGGAGGGGAATGTGAGAAAAAGGCAAGAGACCACAGCTAGGAAGTAGTACGGCCACCACTGGCCAGACTGCGGCAGGAGGCATTAGGTCAGATTAGGTCAGATCCCACTTCCCAGCAGCCCACGGTCCTCGGCGAGAAAGCGAAGGGCCAACAAAATACCCGGCGCCACTCAACCAGCATCTGGTGGCTCACCATTGCCTCCCTCCTCCGTGCACCATCACGCTGGAGCAGGTCAGGCGACTTCTGTGACCCCCAACGTGCTGGGAAAAGCCAAAGTCTCCGTGGTGGCCTCCAGCCCTCCTGAGCTCAGCCCCCGATCTACTCATCGCGTGCTCTCGGCTCGGCCGCGTAAGCCACGTCATTCCTGACGGTCAGCATGCTCCCCTTCAGAGCCCGTGCTCACCCCGCAGCCCTGCTTCACCTTGCTCTACGGCCTCATGTCTCCGCAGCCCTTGGCCACCCCTTGAGCTCTAGATGACCAGCATATGACACTTCCTCTGTAGCGCCTGCCCCAAGCAAACACCAAGACCTCCCGGGTCAGCGAAGGGTGCAAGCACTCATAGCAGGAAGTCAGGACTCAGGAAATATTTGCCAAAATACTAAGTGAGTCCGACAAAAAAAAAAAAACACAGAAAAAAAGAGGTGCCCCTGGGGGGCTCAGTGGTTAAGCATCTGCCTTCAGCACAGGTCAGGATCCCAGGGTCCTGGGATCAGGCCCCACATGAGGACCCCTGCGCAGTGAGCAGCCTGCTTCTCCCTCTCCCCTTGCTCCTCCCAACTGCTCATACTCTCTAACAAACTCATAAAAATCTTTTTTAAAAAAAAGAGGAATGTCTGGCAAAGTCAGTCAGGAGCGTGTGTCACTCCTGATCCTGGGACTGTGAATTTGAGCCCCACGCTGGATGTAGAGAAAACTTAAAAATAAAATCTTGAGGGGCGCCTGTGGGTGGCTCAGTGGGTTAAGCCTTTGCCTTCGGTTCAGGTCACGATCTCAGGGTCCTGGAATCGAGCCCCGCGTTGGGCTCTCTGCTCAGTAGGGAGCCTGCTTCCCCTGCTCTCTCTGCCTGCCCCTCTGCCTACTTGTGATCTCTGTCAATTAAATAAATAAAATCTTTAAAAAAATAATAATAATAAAATAAAAAATAAAAATAAAATCTTGAAAACCCAAACCTCCTAGAGCAAAGGAAGAACCGAGGAACATCACTGGGAAGGCTTGCCAGGTCGCCAAGGGCCAAGCACATACAGCAAAGAGACCCCCACGAGGCCCCCTGGCCAGCCACACACACAAGCCCACCCTTCCCAGGAGCGGAACAACGGAAGCCCCCGAGGTGGTGGGGAAGGGGGTGGGCAGGGCGCTGCCGGCCTCACCTCGCCCTGGCGCCTAGTCTTCGGGGAAGGGCTGAAGAAGTTGTGCAGGACGGAGAGCTCCGTGCTAAAAAGCGCGCTCTCCTTCTCCAGGATGTACTGCTTCAGCAGTGGGGATACTTCGTCCCCGAACAGGGCCTGGTTGTCCTGCCAGATCTGCCGCTTCACCTCCACCGCGCAGGCCCGGTACAGCTCCTTGTCAGCCATCACCAGCTTCAGCTTCTTCTCCGGAACCTACACACCCACACGGGCCACCCCTCAGGATAGGTCAGGAGGCCTCAGCGTCCCCAGCAGTGGCCACCTCAAGCCCAGCCCCACCAGCAGGGGCACCTGCGCCTGGACTCCAGGCCCCGGCAGAGGCCGACGGCCAGCTCCTGCCAAGCCGCCGTGGGTCCCACAACCCAAGCTTCTGTCTCTGCCTGGCTTGGAGAACGTGCCCCGGAGCTGCTGGTCTGGGCAGGCGGCTCAGCACACCTCCCCAGCTCCAAGCGGTCACCCTGATCCAGGGGAAGGCGCGGGGCAGAGCGAGCCCTGAGCTTGGCCTGTGGTGCTTACCTTGGGTAGGTGTTTCATGACGCACATCACCACCGGCTGCAGGGACGGCATCTTCACCAGGGAAAAGCTCTTTTCCAGGAGATCCTCCAGTTTCTTGTACCTGGAAAGACTCCCTTTCTGAGCACAGCGGCTGCCTCCGTGCCCCAGGCAGCTGCCAGGTCAGGGGACGGGTCTCCATGCGCGGGGGCCCGCCGCGGAGCAGGGCCGCGCGGCCCGGGAGTCAGTGCCCGGGCGGGGCCCGGAGGAGGGCTGCGCGTCTCACCCGCCCACCCACCTCTCCTCGGCCTTGCCCTCCGAGGCGATGGCCGACACGCGCTCCAGCAGCTTGTCCCGCAGCTCGTCGAACACCGACTGGTGGAATTCCAGCCGCGGCGTCCCGTGCAGGTCCAGGAACGGCAGGGCGGACTGCAGGGAGGGCAGCAGCACGCCATTCTCTGTCTGCGGAAACAGGCGGCCCGTGTGCGCGGGGTTGGCTTCGCCTCCTGGGGCGCGGGGCGACCCCAGGACGCTCTGCGCGGCGGGTGCGAGCACAGCCCCCGCAGCCCGGCCGCCGCACCTGGAACTGCTCGATGGCCTTGAGCGGCTCCGTGCAGTTGGTCAGCGTCTCCTTCAGGTCCTCGCCGTTGGCCACGCCCAGGTCCTGCAGCCCCGCGAACATGGCCGAGGCCGCGGCCCCCGCGCGGCCCGGCGCCCCATCCCCGCCGCGCTCCCCCGGCGCCGCCGCGCCCGCCGCAGGCCCCCCCGGCGTCCGCTCGCTCGGGCCTCGGGGGCCGCCCGCGCTCCGCTCCCCGGAGCCCTCCAGCTCCGCCAGGTCCCGCCGGCTGCACGGCTCCGCCGGGGCCGCGGCCGCCCACTTCCGTCCTGAGAGGCCGCGTCCGCCGGCCAAACTGTCCCCCGGAAACGCCGCCGCCGGCGCGCAGAGATTCCTGGGAGCGAGCGCGCGCCGAGGACGAGCGCCCCGCCCCCTGCGCCGCGGCCCGCCGCCCATTGAGGCTCCCAGCCGCGGGTCTCCCGCCGGGCCGAGTGCGTGCGCTGCGCGTAACCTTACCCTCGAGCTCAGGGTCCTGGGTGGGGGGTGGGGGGGCGCGGCGGGGCGCCGGGGCGGGGGACCCGGGAAGGGGGGCTGCCGGCGGGGTCGGAACTGGGATTTTGACTTCGTGGGCTTTAATCACGAAAAGTCCCGCGAGCAGCCTGTGAGATCAGCCTTTCGACGCGGACAGTATTTTGGTTTCAAGAGGAGCAGTCCGCCCTCGCTGCCCCCGCCCCCGGGCCGCACCGGGTGCACGACCCCCTTCGTCCCTGGAACTCGGCTCCCTCCTTGCCCAACAGAGACGGGGAAGAGGCTGCGGAGCAAGGTTGTCACGAAGACTAAACTCTACCGTGTGCTTCCGGAGGCGCCTAGCAGAGACCCACTGGAGACCTGGGGGACAGAGTGAGATCGGGACAAGGACAGGTGTCCTCACTCTCATCACGGTGAATATCCAAGCCCCAGGCTAACCCAAGGTGGGTGGCCCTCAGGCTGACTCGTCCATCCTGACACACTGCAAATTCAAGGCTCAGGTTTTATGGTGTCTTTGTCCCTTGCAATGCAAGAAGCTCGCGCACAGTGAGTGGGCACCGCCTGATGGGCACTCTCCTTGGGCTCCTCTCTGCTACGTGTACAAGCCCCTGGACCCAGCAATCAGCGCTCTGCGGCCTCTCAGCTCACCAGCTCACCATCTCCCCTCCAAACAGCCCTATATCCTCCCAGGTTTGGCCACACCAAACATCACACCCTCTCCCTTTTTGTATGCCTTGTCTTCTGAGGTTCATCCTGCTAAAAATTCCCTTCCTACTGCCCAGCAAACTCCTAGTCATCTTTAAAAGTCACTTCCCCCGCTACCTCCTACCAGGAAGCTCTCCCTCTTCAGCCCAGCTGGAGGGCAGTGCTCCTTCCTGCTGGTCCCACTCCTGACTTTGAGCCCTGGGGGTTGCTTTCCACCCCCTTCCCCGAGTCAAGCTCCCAAGGCCAGGCCTTCTATGGCTCTGCCTCTGTTGCCTGCGGGCTGAGCTGGTCAGCCCAGGGCCTAAGGATGGCCATCTGCCATGCCACTGCTCTAATTCCCAGGGATGCTGCGGCTCAACGTCCAAAGTTGAGCCCTAGAGGAGGTGACAGGTAAATTGCACTCGGGACTTCCCGGGCTTTGGCCTCTCTGCGGGATGGAATGACGTCCGCACCACATCATCAACTGTTGCAGTGCCTTTTTGAAGGGGTCAGGCTCTGGCCCACCACATGGGTGGCACAGGAAGGACCCCTGGAGGAACTGGTGCAGGGACAGGAGCCACCCCCAGCTGCAGGTGAGGCCCTTAAGGGAAGCAATCTTGGCGACAACCCCTGGGTAGAAAGGTAGGCTGCTCCTGTGGGCAGAGGCAGGACCCTAACAAGTGAAGGCCCAGGAAGTCTGCTGGCTGTGGTATGGCCTGCACACCCCTGGGCAAGTTCACAGGGTCTTTGGGCAGGAGCCGAAGAAGTGGAGAACCAGCTGGTCCTCTGCACCCTCCCTGGTCACTGGGCAGGCCGACCTCACCTCAAGATGACAGCTGATCCTTGGGTACACTGGCAGCTTGACCAGTCCCTTGGGTAGCACAGCTGGGTGGGAGTGTCTTGTATTGCCCACTGGGTCCCCTCCCATGCAGTCCCCAGCCAGGAAGTCCCAGGGTGCCACCCCACCCGCCCTAGAGAAGAGGGCACCAAAGGGGAAGCAGAGAGAGACCCCTGGGCAAGGAAAACCAAACAGGACGGGTCAGCAGCCACATCTGTGGGACAGCTCACCAGACGAGCACACAGCAGAGTTGGGAAGAACCTTCAGCATCTCTGTATTGGGGGGGGGTAGATGGCTTTTGGGCTGGACATCAATGTCCTCAATGTCCGCAGCTCACAGAGGGGTTGGCCGGCCAGGAGGGTGGGTCAGAGGCACCCACAGAGTCAAAAGGCCGAGCTGGAGGCCCTTAGTTCCAGGCAGGCCTGGGAAGGCCCCCAAGGAAACCAGGGTACTGTGAATAAGCGGGTTGCCGGCTGTGCCGAGGAGGCGCTACAGTGTGCAGAAGGGTCCCGTGTCATGGCGCTTGGGTCTTCGGACACCCTGGATCACCACTCCCGGCGCCGCGGGAAAGCGCGACTTAGAGCAACCCTCCACGTGGTGGGCAGCTGGGCCGGAACTGCGGGCTGCAGGGAGAAGGTAGAGCCCACTAGGCTAAAACGCCAGCGGCCGCGCAGCTCGCAGCTCCCCGCAGGCTGAGTCCCCACCCCTGCCCCCGGCCTGGCCTCCGCTCTCAGAGGTCTCCTCACGGGAACTGAGCCAGGAGGCGAACGCAGGAGAGCGGCTCATGGAGAAGGCGGGCGGGCGCGGGTTCTGCAGGCGGCACCCAGGAAAGATGTCGTAGGTGTTGGGGCCGGGAAGCTTCTCGCCCTGCGGGGCCTGTGGAGGGCCCTGAAGCTGGGGCTGGGGACGGTGACCCGCACCCCCGGCCCGCGGCAGCCCCGGGCGGGCGGGGGTCTCAACTGTCTTAGAAGAGGGGCGGCGGCCCCCAAAGCTGAAGGCCGGGAAGGCAAGCGAGCTGAGTGGCTGGTAGTCCGCTGGTGACGGCCACTGCGCGCAAAGAGGCTGCTGCTTCCCCCACCGCCCCCGCGGGCCCGCCCCTTCCCGGCCCCCTCCTCCCGGCCGCACCCCGCGGGC